ATTAGTTTCTTTGATTTACCAATATATTGATTATTGCTTTCTACAACTGTGACTATAAGTGTAACTATAACCATTCTTTAAGAAACTTTTTAAAAACGTCATTCAATATTAAAGTGTTCACAAATATTTTACAATAAATACATATATGTCTACAAACAATATTTTTGGATTCAAAGTATACATTATTTAAACAAAATCTTGTGTCCATTTAGAACAGAGATAGCAGGGAATTTATTTTACAGAAATCCATCGATTCGAAATTTGACATTCATTCCCCGCTGACATTAACTTCTTTATACTTTGCGCACGAAAATTAGGCCAACCTATGTACACGCAGCTTATCCATGTAACATCCTCCTTCTACACTCGCAAAAGCGCATGTAATTTTTTACGCTGGTCGTCCTGCTGCACATTTTCCGGTCAGCTTATAATACGAATACAGTTATACACACACAGAGAAAACAATCGTAATGCATTTGTACCGATTAAAGATGATCCGTTATCAAACAGTGCCTAATCAATTGAAACATCATATCACACGTATGCGCTTACGTACGTACCAAATTAGCTGCACACTATTAATTCATAAATTACCAGCGGCCTTTGGGAGTAAACGGTTGATCGCACCAATACAACTCGACCGTGAGCTTTGACGCATTAGAAACCATTTCCATTAACGACGAGTGTTAAAACAAACAATTGCAATATTAGAACCTTGATCCGTGTATAAAAAGAAACATCAGAAACTAATGAACAATGATTCTCAGTTAACACGAATTATTTGATGAATGTTTCAATAATTTTTAATTGAATTAAAATTATCAGTTCCAATGAAATTTAATATTTTTCTAAATCACGTGGTAATTAGCAAAGCTGCTATGCAGGATGGCTGTAATCGCAATTTGTCTACATATCGCCAAAAAATGGACGACTGTATCCGTCGTTTGCGGCAATGAGTTAATTCACTAATCTGATCGGTCTCCCGTTGCAAATCCCCGAATAACTTGTCCACATCTTCGACCTCCTCGATCCCCTCGACCCCCCAACCGA